CCCGTCCATTGTTCAAGGACGGGCCGAATCGCCTCTATATCATCATCTCCCCTCCCTTATCCTACACCCGTAGAGTCGGCGCACCGGGTTTTCGTCCTCCGAAGCATTAGAACTAGAAACTAGCACTATTCTAGAATTATCCTGAATTAATCATTTTATAAGTAAAATTATTATATAGCATTCTTAACTAAAAAAGATGGATGGATTGCGTAAAAGGTGACATGATCAAGAAGGGAGTGATGACTGAGATGACGGATGATAGAGTTTTTTGGAGGACGAAAACCCGGTGCGCCGACCCTACGGGAGTAGGATAAGGCAGGGGAGATGATAAAGATGAGCATCTTTTACTGGATTACTTCCAGAGAAATTATTTTAACATTTACGAAATGTAAAATAATTTAGGGTTGAAGATTAAGCAATCTTCATAATCCGTTTTATTGAATGAAACAGAGTCGAATTAAGGAAATTGGTTTTTGCTTCTTAAATGAATAAAACAAAATTTTATTGTGATGAATTTAACATCGTTAAGACGTAAAGAGAAGAGTTTAAATATATAAGAGATGTTTATTATGAAATGGAATTAATTAAATAACGAAAACTTGGGCATATTAGTATGAGTATAATTGTATTATTATCGTGCAAAATTAAATCTATAAAAATATCGTTTTGTCGAGCTCGGGTCGTTAAGTTCAAGCGGTGGATATTGTCGGTGGCAGGTCGTGTCAGTGACGTCGTGCTTGAGGGATCGTTCCCAGCTCTTCATAATTTATCCATGTACTTTGACGTTAATGACTTTTTATAAATCAATTAATTAAACCCCTCTTGTATTGACAGTCTAAATTAATTGATATTTCAATCATTCGTTAAAAATTGGTGCGATATTAATTTACAATGTATGCGTAAATACATTTTTTGTATGTTTTTTTTAATATCCTTTGTGCGTTTGAAGTATTTACCAAATCATATAGTACGCCTGCCATTTGATAATAGCAAATTATAAGTTCTACTTGTCAGATGAAATATTTTAATTAATAAATTAGTTTAACTAAAAATGAGTTTTATTTCCTGTAGACGGTTTTTCAACTGAAAGAACTTTTCTGTTTGCTTTGATGAAAAGTTTTCATATTCGAAAAAGTTGAATTTTCTCCGATAAACCAAATGAGGTCAATAAAAATAAGAAATACGATCAACGAAATTAGTTTTGGAACTTATAAGCGGCAATAAAAGTATTTAGCTGATAAAATATGACAAATAGTTAAACTATTTCCAAATATCCTAAAGCAATTACTAAGGAATATTCTTATTTGACGTTTTCGAGTTTTAAGTAATTTTGATTACATTAACGTGGTAACAAACATAGCTAACTACGAAACTAAATAAAGCTAGAAAACTTCAAGTCAAGTTGCTACGAGCTTTTCAAGTCCTTGTTAAGTTTAGGTAAAGTAAGGAAGAAAAGTGTCGCCACTTTACTTGATAGATGGAGGTGCTCGGTTAAGGTGACTCGGCGACGGGCGACGTAGACGAAGGGGGATGAATAGCCTACGTGCTTGCCGGCAAATAAATTATTTTACCATTCCTTACTTAATATACTACGTAATCAACTATGATTAAGTTTTTTCCTTTAAAGCCAGACGAATTGGCGAAAAAAATCTTTTAAATGTGTAAAGTATTACTGAGGGACTATCACGAATATGCGTGAGAACATTTCCACAACATCATCGACTATCGTAATCAAAATTATTAGATTTGTGCAGCGCTAAAGTACACTAACACAAATATTCGTGACTAGTTGTTCCCGTGCGACTTCATCCGCATAAAATTATGAAAATTGTATTTTATTGTTTACATGTGTCAAATTATCAATTGCAAATGTCAAAATGAGATGTCAAAGACAAAGCATGGCAACCTTGCTATCTTGATATTGGTAGAAACTTATGGTCTCTTTCCCACATTAGGGTTTTTATCCATAATATTTGCCCCTAAGTTTAATGGCGTGAAAATATATACCCTAAAGCATGACGTAAGTGTAGGGCTTTTTATTAAAAAAATAATTATTCAAAAATATGCTGTAATTTCTAACATCTTAGGCAACAACGAAGTGTGTGTTTACGCTTTATTATAATAGTATAGATAGACCCTCTCATAATTTTTAAGTAACGTTCCACGGATAATCGTTCACAATGTTACCATGTACTTTACTTACGAGTACATAGGTTTGTGATAGATTAGATATAATGAGGCAGGTGTTTAAACATAATTGTCAGTAATTACTTGGGCTTCTTCACGACAGTTGTAAATAATTAAGTCCAGTGTCGTATTTGTTGCATGACACTATTAAACACATTTACATGAAACACGTTGTTCACTTCTTTTAAGAAAATCATTGTATTTTTTTTATTTACATACTAAAAAACAGTATAACATTAAACTCATTGTCCATCGAACACTTTTCCGTCTTTTTCCTCAACGAAGTTACAAAGACATCAGAAGTGGGCATGCCCAGAAAGGCTTTAGCTATGCTCACCTCTGAGGGGGCACTGTCATGCCCTCTGTCGTAAAATCTTCGCTCGTTGTCCAGTCATCAAACCCATTAAGCGATATCCGTCGACGAACGACTTCGAATCGACTATTAAAGATTCATTTCCATGAAGGGAATTCGTTTTCTTTTAATGCCTTTGAGTTTAAATTGTAGATTGCAGTTTATATTATTTACAAGTCAATAAACTGTTGACTGTGATTCCAGCTTCCAGTATTGAAGTTGCAGATTTAATTTCCCAATGTAAATATCTCGTGAAAATGATGCTAGTGTAGCCAATGACAGGGTTCTAATGCACTTAGGATAAAGTTAAATTAAGCGACCGCATTGCAATGTAAGAGAACGCCTACTTCGGTTCCCTAGGGCGTTAGTGCTTAGAACTGAACTTCCGTGATATTTATTTTGTCCCTTTCAGTTCAAAGGGACATTGTCGAATAACAAAACAGAGACCACAATATGCTTTTAGAAGAAGAGTCGGGGCGATCCCACACGGTAATACGCACACATTACAATTAAGTCTTAAATTATTTAATTTTAACAAAAAAAACAATAGCACTTGCAAGAAAAGACCACATCAATCTTATAGATATACAATAAAAATTGTACAAGAATGTATTAAAACATTTAATTAACTGTATTTGTAAACAGTAACAGTAAAAACTGCAGATTTACTAAAGATTATTTACAGAACTCGCAGCACTATACAGAGTGTCTTTTATCTCAATAAAATGTCGTTTCAAATCGTTTAAGTTTATTCGGACATTGTCTCGCAAATTCGGTTTATCATGGTCAGTTGGGAGCGTTCAAGCACACATAATTTCCCTAGTCACTCGTTAATAATTAACAAACTTTAAAAGCTTTTCAATTAAACAACCTGATTTTCATCGTTCATTTAAAACTTTGTTGGAGTACTTATGTTAAGAATTCAGTAGTCGTTGTGTTTTTGTAACGTAAATATCGATATGATTTTGTTTTCAACTGTGTAATTAAATATGTAATGTTTGCCTTATGAATGGATTAAATGATTTACTATTATTATTATTATATGAAGTCTGAAAAGCCGCAACAACGTCTCATATACGTAAGCTTCCGTAAGAAAGGAATGGAACTATTAATTTGTCAGCTAATCGCGGCCTCACAGACCCTGCATCGGTACTGAAAGGTTAGTATTTTTCTAGAACGTAGAAATAACTCTTGACAATGAACCTGACGATTTAAACCAAATCATATCTTATCTTTTGAAATAAAAGTTTATGAATGAATTGTGTTAATAACGACGCATTTGTTATTTCTTTTCTGATAAATCGCTTTGTTTTATCATAACGATTATTACTACTTCCTGTTTCTATCCATACAGATAATAAAATAGTAACATGCGTTAATTATGCCATTCTTCGCTTAATAATAAAGGACTGGCTGTTACTCGTGACTTCGTCCCCGAGAAATAAAAAAAATGTTAAAAAGACAGCCTATGTTACTTACAGTTAAATTAATTCTAACGGAAAATATATTTTTTTTAAATCGGTACAGTAATATATTACAGTAGTATATTTCTTCTTTCCTCTTTATATTAGTATAGATAAAATAAATGTCATTATTATTAAATTTAAACAAAATTTTAGTAAAACAGAACGCCCTGTAACATCAGGCGGATTCGGCGTCAAGTTCTAGTTAAAACATTAACAGGATAAGCGTTATCAATATTTTAAATTTTAATAACGTGACAATAAATTTATTTTTGGTGAATAACGTGTTATCTAAATTAAATTCCGTCATATGATATTTTAGTACATGGAAGTCGAAGTTAGATAATAATTATCACAATTATAACCAATCAATCAAATTTTTACTTTATATTGAACCAGCTGTCCCCGGGCGGCTTCATCCGTATGAAATAAAAAAAATATATTATTTCGTTTACATGTGTCAAATTATCAATTGCAAATGTCAAAATGACATGAAATGATGACAATCCATGGCAATCTTACTTCCGTGATGTTGGCAGCTTGTAGCTTATGGTCCCTTTCCCACACTAGGGTTTATCCAATTTATTTACCCCCTGAGTTTAATGCGTGAAAAAATATAGCCTTAAGCGTGACGTAACTGTAGGGCTATTTATTAAAAAAAGAGTTATTCCAATATATGCTGTAATTGCTGACATCTTAGGCAACAAAGAAGTGTGTGTTTAAGCTTTATTACGAGTATATACTAGCTG